ATAAGAATAACACAAGCAGCAGATGTGTATGCATTTTTTTTTGTCCAAACAGACAAAATGTGTAAAAAATCTGGTTAGACAAGTGTTCCCAGAAGAGGTGTGAGAAATGAAGTACAGAATAAATAAGATAAACATGGTACGTCTGTATGTTGGGGCGCCACTCAATGTCCACTTTATAATGTGGTTCCTGAAGCAAAACCAATGAAAGAGAGATCTTGAAAAGATCAGGGAAGGCCTATTTTAAAGCATTCGGATATGCTCTGAAGTTTGTGACTCAGGTGCTCTTCTGTACTTGGTTAAGCAAAGTGATGGGGTCTGGCATGGCTGATCTGAGCAGAAGACAGCCACATCATTAGGGGGAGTTCAGAGCCTCCTTTGCCTCTGGGGAGGAGATGACAGCTCATCACAGCCTTGGGGTTACCTTTCTTTAAAAATATGTTAATCAAAAGGCGCTAGGGAGAATTTTAATAAAATGAGATCAAATGCATTCATTCTTTTTTAAAATAATAATTGTCTTCCATGATTTAAAAGAAATACTCTGTACCATCTAGAACTATATCTGCCTAATCATCCTGGTCCAACAGAGAGATGGCCATGTGATGGAGAATAATTGGCTACACACTGTCCAGAAAGATTCACAGCTTTCATAGGACTACATCAGCATGTCAACTGCCTGAACTTGTACATGACAACAGAGTAAAAGCTGAAGAATGAATCTTTATTACTCTTCATAGTTATTATTTATAAAGGATGAACTTTCGAAAATAGAGGAGTGTTTGGTAGTAAAGTACAATGAAAATCTTATGAAACACTTTGCCAGGGATCAGTTAGTAATGCATTATTGATTCAGGGCAGAATTTAAAAAAATAAATTAAATAAAATAAAATAAAATACACATATTAAATAATACCCTGCAAATATTTGTGGACATACATAAATAAATAAATCCTGTTAAATAATTAATGCCCGGCAAATATTGTAGTCATTAGCTCAATAAAATAAAATAAAACACACATACACACATACATATATATTTAAGTAGCGAACCGTGACTCTTGAGCCTAGGCCCTCTCCCCCTACCCTCGTCGGGGGAAAAAACTACCAGCCTAGCTTACCGTGTCCTCTTCTAAAAGTCGTCTTTGACAATTCCACCTCTGAAACAAGAGGCTATCCAGCCGTAAGGCGGTTGCACACCGGACGACATGTGCAGCCCTGCACCGCGCCGCACCACGTCTTTAAAATTCCCACACATTGTTTTCCATGACTGTATGTATGGAGTCAATATAAGGGGGAAAAATCTACCAGCCTAGCGTACCGTGTCCTCTTCTAAAAGTCGTCTTTGACAATTCCACCTCTGAAACAAGAGGCTATCCAGCCGTAAGGCGGTTGTCATAAAAATTGTTTTATTCATTACATCATAATTCAGATTTTTTTTTTCCAGGAATAAATAGCTAAGCAACACATTGCAATTCTTTATTTTTGTTTGCAAAAAACACATTTATTTTTTCTCAATACTTTTATTTTCGTTTGCAAAACTTTATTTTCATTTGCAAAACTTTATTTTCTTTTGCAAAACTTTATTTTCTTTTGCAAAACTTTATTTTCTTTTGCAAAACTTTATTTTCTTTTGCAAAACTTTATTATTTTGCATATATAAGTGGCATTATATTGACTCCATACGCGAGAGCAACGAGCGCTGCTACGCGCATGCACGTTAAACAGACAGAGCACAATCAAATAGGAGCGCAATAATTCTGAGTAAAATATACATTTTGCTAAAAAATTTGTTTTTGGACATTAAATGTGTCTTTTGTAGAATTTTAAACCTACATATAAGTGTATTTTTTGATAGCAGTAACCAGTGATTTTAACTTTTAATTTAGTTATTTAAATGCTTTAAATAGCTATTTTAGATTGTAATGTTCTAATGTTCTGCTATCTGTTCTGCAAACTGTAAAAGCAGTAATAAAACTGTAATAAAAAAGCTGTAATAAAACCAGAGAGAAAGGTTGCATGGCTAGAAACTGTAAAAAAAAAAAAGGCAAAAGTCAGTTAAACCATAATAGTATGTGAGACAGTGGTAATATCATTGTGTTCCTGTTGGTCAGTAGAGGAGCTTAACTTAGCCTGAGTTAGCCTGCTTTAGACCAGGTTAGTTTCCCAGAATAAGTTGCCACAGTGACTATAAGCTTGATCTAGGCCTATGTTAAATTTGCTTTATGGAACCAAATCATTTGACAATGAGTCAGACTAACTGAAATAAGCCTGGCTTATTTGGTTAACTTGTTTTATGAAACAGGCCTCGAGGCATTAAAAATGATCATATTTTCTCCATTGCATCGTATTGCATTGAATCGCATTGTGTTGAATCGTATAGAATCTAAATCAGATCGCACTGCATCGTAATAGAGGTGAATCGTATCGCATCGGTAGCTGCTTCATATGTATCTTTAATGTATCGTATCGTTGGCTATGCATCGAGATGCGTATCGTATCGGCCTGAGTCATGAGATGCACATCCCTATTACAGATGTGACGTAATGACGCAGTGCCATGCTCGATTTTCCATCGAAAACCTACCCGTACCACTCAACTTATAAAACCTTTACAAGCTTACCGTTGTGAATCGAGCTAAAGTAAGGCGATAGTTTTTTAACACTGGCTGTATATGTACTTGCTCAAAAAATGATTTTGGATCATTTTTAACCAAAAAAGTTACGGACTGCAGCTTTAAATGAGATGCAACCTTTACAAGCTTACCGTTGTGAATCGAGCTAAAGTAAGGCGATAGTTTTTTAACACTGGCTGTATATGTACTTGCTCAAAAAATGATTTTGGATCATTTTTAACCAAAAAAGTTACGGACTGCAGCTTTAAATGCGATGCATGCCACTTTCCTGAATTAAAATGCATAAAACCTACAAATAACCCAATTGAAGTTGGAAAAATCCAAAAGTGGGAAATGTTGTGGAATTGATACAAACTGAAAACAAGGAGTGTGCTTCTGACATACCCATCTAAAATCATGCATTTACCAGCAGGTCCCCACACTGGTCCAGAAGACTGTCAAGGCATATTGGGAAATAAATTTAAAACCGATAAATTCTATTTGGTGATGCAAGGAGAAATAAAACTACTCCTTTGAAGTTATACAAAATATAGAAAGCAATACGTTCACAACATAAAATGCATACAAAATATCTGCAGTGCTTCAGGGAAGTGGGTGTTCAAGTAGAACTCTTGGGGCAGAGACTCCGATTGGCGGAACAATTTATAGCATCATGGGCAATGGATTCCACTTAATTCTTTAAACTGAGCTTAAACCAAGGCTGTGTTCGAAATTCCATATACTATCATACTACTCTTACTATTTCTGCAGTATGTATGCTGTACATAGTATGCAAATTTTCTGTATGCATGGAATACCCGAATTACCTGCTACATTTGCCAGAATCTGCTAAATATAACACAAGTACACTGAAATCAGTACAGAAGCTGTGTTCGGAATGGCATGCTATCATACAACTCGTACTATATTGCAGTATGCTGTGTGTATACTGTGAATAGTATGTGAATTTTCTGTATGCGTGGAATGCCCGGATTACCTGCTACATTTGCTGACATTTGATGTATGCATCTGAAGAGGCTGCATGGGATACTGTTTCCCAGAACGCAACGTGCTCCATGTGACGTTTCACCTTCAAACACGTGAGTGAACTGGAGGCGGGGAATAGTAATAATTATAAATGTAAGACTTGTATATGTAAGTTACTTATATACATATTGTACATGTAAACTACAAACTATTGCCGTTTATCTAAAAAAAAAAAATCTTTAGTAGGACATAAATTGTACTTTAATCTCTGCAGCACGTTTCTGAAGTCAAATGACATCACCTTTATCTCTATAGCGCTTTATACAATACAGATTGTTTCTGCAGTATCAGTGGTGCAGCGAAAACGTGAGCAGTTTGCTTTTGACGCGATTGATCCGCGTTCGATTCTGGCTTGTCGAACTCGTGCTTCTCCTTTTCCCCATCACATACTAGATCAGAAATTCATTTTTCAATAAAAATTAGGTAAACATTTGAAGTGGAAATAAAACGCCTTAATACAGTGTTGTGGAAGCTTAGCTGTAGGTAGGTTTTTGTCCAAAGTGGCATTCATCTTATAAAATGTATGATAATTTACACTGTTATTGCATACTGTTCTATAATGTAATACAGAACTGAAGTATAAATATCTGCCACCTAACTACTATTTACATGCCCTTTGCAAAAGAAAATGCTGCTATTTTGTGTAAACAGAATTTCATTATTTGCACTTAGCATAACTAGAACACACTTTTTCCACTTAAAAAGGCACAATGTAATTTTCGCCACTAGGTGCGTATTCAAAATAAACAGACAAAGGTGTAGTTTATGACGCTGTGACTGTGGAATCATGGGAGTTGTCATCTTCATCCCCACAGCCAATGCAATCTGCCGGGACTCGGGCAGAAATCATGTTCATGGATGAGCTAATGATTTATTAACGTAGAATGAAGCAGGGTGAGGCTGAAAACCATCGAAGCAAAACAAGGCCGCTGAATGAGCGTGACACCTGGCACGAAAGCAGCGGAGCTTTTATTATGCCACAGTCGACCACTTCTGCTCGTTCCAGTCGTGCATATGTGGGGGAGCGTTTTATCATACTAGATACATTTGAAAGTTATAATGCTACTGTGCAGTTGTCACTGGTCTATTAAAACCAAGCATCTTTGGTGTTTCCATGTTTTCTACAAAACCAGAAATCAAGGGGTTATGACATCATTGGCAGGCGACACACTGAAACTATGGACAGTCCGTGTCACTAGTTAAAATGGCTTATTTCTCTGGATTTAAACAATCTTCGAAACATTTGGGATAAAGTCGACAAAAAAATAAAAAAATAAACGTATGTATAATATATATATACACACACCTTTTCCTTCTAGAAAGAAATGTACAGTAGGACTACCAGTTTCCCCACATTTGCAATACATTCAAATCCAAATGGGTTAAACCACACAACACAAGAAACAATACATTTCCTCCATTTACTGAAAACCAGCTACAGTCTTCTGTCGATCTTGAACCATTACAGGACCGAGTGAGGCCTTGCCTTCCCACTGAATGCCTAGTAAGCAAATACCCAAGTTAAGTAGAGCACTTGAAGTGTCAAAAGCAATCTTAAAAGTAGCTACCTACCCCCAAAAGGAGCAGCATTTCCACCATCAGGACCACATGTTGAGTCACAGCAACCACAAGCCTGGTGGTTCCCATCAGCAGCAAGCCACCTGCAACAAGAAAAATCAGACACGGCACCTTCAACATGTTCTTAAGTAGCATGAACATACCCGTTGGAAAAGGAACAGGATTTGCGGAGAGCATCACTGGGTGCAGAAGCAAGAGTGGCCTTCACAATACACGTTATGTAGATCTGCAAGAGACGCAGTACAGAAGGACTGTATCCTCCCTGGAACATGAAGGCCTCCAGCTGGAACCGGATCTGGTCTTCCTGGGTTCGAGGCATGAAGCGGGAGCTGGAAGTTGTAGCCTTACCATCCACAAGGCACCTGATAAGCAACAAAGAACTCAATGGCATCGAGTCACTAGACCTTACCCCAATTCTCAGGGACAAAGTTGTGAAAGAGCAGCTTGTGAATGCATCAAGTGCCATAATCCATGCTGCGTCCCAATGTGGCTACTTATACTACGCCTTTAATGTACTCTTTAGGTGAAAAGGTACCATTTTGGGTTTAGTAAAAGAGTAGGCAAGCTTTGTTTAAATAGAACCCCAGCGCCGGGGTTTAATGTGTTTTGAACCCAACCGCTGGGTCAAAACCCAATAGCTGGGTTTGTCCCTTTTTAACCCAGTGCAGTTTGTGTGTAGTAGAGGAGTAGGCAAGCTTTGGGACAAGCTCTCACGTCATACAACTGAGTCTTTAACAGACCACTCAGTCACAGTTACACGCACCTTTCACTAAACTGGCCTGTTAATCAGCTTCAGTTAACTCCCCACATTGCATTTCCTACCGTATTGAGAGAGAAAAAAAAAAATTTGATCTGCCAGCCGTGGGTCTTTGTGTGGAGAACTCTGAAAAAAAAAAAAAGTATCTGCCAGCCGTGGGTTTTTGTGTGGAGAACTCTGCTCATTTTTGCATGATGCATTTAAAAGTTATTGGCCAAACGGATGTTTATAAAAGGTTAGAAACTGTCAGACAAAAGGCTGAAATCTCCTGCGTAAGTGCATTGCACACTAAAGTTTTACAAACAATTGACAACAGACAGACCATACAATTAAACAAATTCCTGTTTTTTTTTTTTCACGTGCATCTTATTCAGTTCTAGGACAGCCTGATGTACAAAAGGATTTTAATACTCAATTCAATCTTGGGACCTTGTATTGACAATTTGA